TAGATAGATAGATAGATAGATAGATAGATAGATAGATAGATAGATAGTTATATATATACATAATTAGTATTAATTAGTGTGTCATTTACAGGTTAGATTTAAGAATTTATCAACCGTGGGCATGTTGCAATCCTGGATTGCACCTTTCGGCTTCATCGCTAGCATGATTCTCAGTACCTGCGAATCAGACCTTGAGTGGCCATTGTCGTAGGTTTTTCCTGGCAGGTCGTCTCCAAGCCACAATTCGGACGCTTGATCAATTTGGTGCGGCTGAAGGATTCCGAAAGCATCTGATCTTCATGTGTTGCGGGAAGCCTTCCATCAGCAGTCCTAGCGCTGCAAGGACTCCAATGCTGAGAAAGTATTGCGGTACTGCAAGTGGTGCGAAATGTATCAAGCCGATCTGGCCCGCAGCAAAGCACCCGTTTGGTGAAAGCTTCAGGTTGATGCATGCAGAAGAGGCGCTGGACAAGAGTGCACTTCAGAGTAACAGAAATCGAAAGCCTTGCATTGATTTTTTTAAAAATGTGACAAGGCGGTTGGAGTTCAGGAGCTGAAGGACGAACAGGAGGCACGGGCAGATCACGGAAGAGAAAAGATGTCCCTGCTCATCCAAAGCAGGATGAGCCACATCCGAAGCGCCAGAAGATTGAAATCGAGGAGGCTATGCAGTTGCATCGGTGATGTTTTTAAGCACTTGCCAACTCAAGATCAACCAAGCAGGGTACTGTTATGCAAAGTTTGAACTGTTTGCAAACCTCGAGGAATTCGGGGAGCGGCCTTCGCAGCCGATGGGCTTTGAGGCTCTATATAAGCAAGGCAATACGCAGAATAGCTGAGTAGCTTTCGAACCTTGCTGAATGCCAGGAGGTTGCTGATTTGGTGGTGTCCGTGATGCTGCAGCAGGGCCACAAGACCCCAACGCACATGGCCAAGATCCTGGTCCTATGCCCTTGTTTGTCATCCTTCTGCCACTTTGCTTAGCGGACAACCGGTAGTCTCTCGTTGATAGTTGCGTGCCTGATTTGCTACTGCAGCTGTTTTGAGGTGATCAAGACGTTGCATGACCAACAGGGATGGGTTTTCAAAACACGCTCCAGGATAATATAAGCCGCTAGCCTGTAGGCCGCAAACATTCTTTTGACCTGGGGCTCAGAGCTCCTGACAAGCATCCAAGCCCTCGCTCGCCCGTAAGCTTTTGAAGAGGAAGCGTGCCTGAACGATCCTTTGGCAGGTGACGCTTGGGTAGTAGACTGCTGTAAAGCCATACGGCCGTGGAGTGATGTGCGCCATGAGTGAAATGTAGTGATGAGATGCACATGGTGGTCAATGTTATAGTGATTTGGAGGTCATACCTGTTTGGGAAACCTTTGCTGATCCCATATGCCGTGGGCAGTTTAGGGTGATGTGCGCCGGTTTGAGGTGTTGCAGGTTGCTCGGAGCAAATCCGACAAGATTGTTTGGGCTTTTGTCACCAGCGCAGCAAGGTACTTCTTCGCGCCAAGTGCAAGTCCTGGCAATTTCTCAAGGTTAAGCAGCGCTTGCAGCATGTGCTCAAGAAGCATTGATGATCATAGGACTTGCAAGCATTGCCTGCTGATTCAAACTCATCGATGGCAGTTTGCCACGTGGCAAGCCGACAGGCAAATTGGACGTTGTTGTGTGGCCATGTGAGAAGTGGGTCGAAGTGTCTAGATTGCCCAACGCGGAGATTGTAGGACAGTGTAGATTTTGAGATTGCTGAACATGCTTTTGCAGTTACAAGAAGCTACTAGGGGCTCCTGGCCTCACTACTAGGAGCAAGGACACTACTAGGAGCAAAGGGCATCGCTACTAGGAGCAAGAAGCTACTAGGGGCTTTTTGCAGGGTTCTAAAGACGCCAAGCTGTGCATCTTGCGCTATGGCGGAGGGCGCTGGGGGCAGCGAGGCAGACTCACCGGACCAGGTGGCAGGAATTGACGGCGACCTGATGCAATGACCGTCAGTAGCAATCTTCTATTGTAAGTTTTTTCTTTTACATAAGGGGGGTAGACCGCTAAAAGGTCAAGAGGTGCGAGCTAACAAGTAGCTAGTCCAGTCTAGCTGGTAGCAAGAAGCAAGTAGCAGCAAGGAAGCTACTAGCATGGACGCAGGACTCGCGCTATTCATGTGGTTCCTAGATTTTGTGATGGTTCAGTGTACATGGTAGGTGGTTTGCAGCTGTGAAGCTCTTGGTGACATGTGTTGACGCTCGCCGCTCCCTTCAGCTCTTCGATGTGCGCATTGCAGGAAACGCCCGCGTTTCGCATTTGCTTGCTTTTGCTTTGTGTTCCCCTTTTGAACTCGCTTTTTGGGTGAACATCGCTTTACAATATCACCGCCACATTGGTAGCGGAGCTCTGAGGGGCTGGGTGACCCTTGGTGGGGATTTGCTCATAGGCTGCTTGCTCTTTCATTCATGGTCGCGCCGATTTCGACTGCCGGGGATGGATCATGGCAGCGGCAGCAGGGGCTTCCCCCAGGGCAGCCGCCCCCGCAGCCGCTCAGCCCTAGGGAGCGAGAAGATCCATGGGTGAAGTTGGATCCATGGGTTCATAGTTCGTAGTTCTTTGGGTCAGGCTAGTTCAGAACAAAGTGGTGGTCCAAGATCGATGCATGACATGTTCCCCACCTTCGTTCCATGGTGGTCTGCTCAAGAGGGAAAGGGCACCTCTTCACGGCAGAAAGGAGAGGGCAAGGGGACGTCAGGTGGAAAGGGTGGATGGGGACAGTCTGTTCTTGCACGCCCTGCCACGGAGCCTGATCTTTCTCGAGGTTGGCGTGCCCCTTGCCGTGATCAACCACCACAGCCTGAACCTCTAGGTGAGCCCCGTCGAGATGCGCAACGGCATCCAGGTAAAGTCCAAGGACCTTCTCAGCAACAACGACCTCGCAAGGAACCACCTCGGCAAGAGACATGGCCGGCTCCTGATCCGGTGCCACCAACACGGCAGGACTCCCTCTCCTTCAGGCCCGCGATCTGATCCAGGCCAAGGCAGAAGAAGGAGATCGAGACCTTCTATGGCGAGCGCAGCAAATAGTGCACCTGGAGACGAGTGGTGCGGGCACAGCAACAGCTGTACCAGTTGGCTGACCCTGAACTCGCCATGTTGATCTGTTTGTCTTGCCAGAAGGAGGCTCGAGATGTCTTGGACCAGATGACCATCGAGGAGATGGTCCAGAAGGACGGCAGAAGCACCTTTGGAGGCAGTTGGGATTCAGTGCTGAACCATCTAATCATTGGCGTGACGAGGGATGAGGAGCATCGTCATCACAGTTATGAACGGGGCCGTGCGTCCACTGATCCTGCGCCCCGACCAGACCATGAACGCGTTTCCACCGCTGTTGCGCCGGGGGCGAGAGCGGACAACACTGCAACTGCCAACCTCGGAGTTGCCTAATGCAGTATACAAGAAACGATTCAATGAGTTCCGTCGGCTTTGTATGAGGCGCGCTTCTTTGTCACAGGAGTCAGCCTCCGATGTCTCCACGACGTCACATGAGTTCGGAACGACGGGACCCATGGATGAGCTCTCTTCAGGGTCGGAAGTTGAAGTGCCGGAAGAGAATGAGGTGCTCTGGAGTTGGGTGGGAAAGATGGCAATTATGACAAAGGGGAAGTGACACCAAGGAGATCTATGAAAGCTATAGGTGGAACAGCCCAAAGAAGGCAGAGATCCCACGTGCACCCAAGTCTCCTCCTCCAAGGAAGCCATGCCAAGGTGTTGGAAATCTTCACATGGACTTTCCATCACCTATGCAGCTTGTGATCGAGGATGGCAAGGCCTGGAGCCCCTCACCCTTCCTCGATGGGACCTACATGACCGAAGGACTCTCCATGAAGCGGCCCAGTACTACCTACGAGGAGAGCCTGATCTTTTGATGATCGCTTGGCCGTGTGCTGTGTGGTCACTGTTGCAATTCTCTGGGAAAACCGACGGTTGAGAGGTGGAACCAACTTTAAGAACGACAGCGCGTGAACACTTCTTTGCATTCATTCATGATGTGGTGAAGCTGCATCAGCAAAGAGGACCTCTTCATCTTGGAGAAAACCCATGGCCGTCCCATGCTTGGCGAGAGCCTATGATCAAGGCCGGAAGCGTTCAAGAGAAGAGGACTGACATGTGCTCTCATTGTCCCAAGCATCCAGGCACTCATTAACCACTTCCACACATCGTCAACAGGTGTGCTACGACCTGCCAATATCAAGAACCGCGTGCTTTGCTATCAACAAGGAGGCCGCTCTCACTCAGTTGCTTCATTTGCCGGTGGCTACACCAAGCAGTTTGCCAACCGAGTGGTCATGGCGACAGAAGAATTCTTGGAGCACTGGACGCCCCAGTGTTGCTGGACTTTGTCTGAGGTTGACGTGCCGGAGGAGCGCTTCATGCAAGAAGAAGAGGCCGTGAATGAAGATGACCCCGAGAGGATGCTCGATGATAAAATGGAAAGAGACGAGATGGTGCGGAAGAATGGAGAACCTATGAGCCGCCGAGGAGGTGGACAAGAAGAACAGGCACCATCGCAACATGACGTCCTATACGCAAGATGCGCCTGCCTTCGGGACATCCGAGCAACTCGACCTTTCATCGGATGTCGAAGTTGGGAGGTGCCTCAAAGGAGAGGCTGGAGTTGGCCAAGAACTATGAATGTCCAACATGTGCTCAAGATGTGGAGGTGCGTGTGGACCTCAAGTATGCTCAAAATGTGAAGGGCGAGACTTTTGCCGCCTTGTCGATGGTGGATGCCGCAACCAACTACCATCGAGCAGTCCTGGTGAAGACCCGCAAGCCAGGATACATCACCAAGAAATTTCTCAAGCATTGGGTCGGGCTTCTTGGCGGACCGATCCTCATGTTGGAGTCCTATGGCATCTTCTCGACCACAACGGCAGCTCATGTTAGATGGCGACACACCTTGGCTGAAAGGCATGGGGGTGTTCGGTAAAAGCATCTCATACCCGGAGCTCTTGGCTGATGAGGGCTTTGATCAAGTCGCTCAGGCACAGGCCTTGGACACTGAGGCCGAACTCACCAGAGGCAGTCCAGTCCGACATGCTGCTCGACAGATTCTTTTGAGAGATGATGTACAACAGAAGCTGAGGAGAGCCTTGCAAAGAAGACCGCCAAGCCATGAGACAGTCTATCTCCCGGATGAGGTGGTCTACTTCTTCATTCCCCAGGTCCGCAAGGCCAGATACCGGAAGGATGCAGGACGTTGGAGGGGTCCAGCTGTCATTATCCTCCAAAATCCAAAAGTACCATCAAAGATATTATGTGTCTTGGCGAGGTCGATGCCTTCTTTTTGCAGCACCAAATCTTCGTCGGGCCGCTTTGGATGAGTCAGATCCCCAGGTGATCAAGCGAGAACTCAGTCAGCTTCAAGAACCTGAGGATGGCCACGACAAAGAGTTTGAAGATCTCAGCGAAGCCCGAAAGCCAAAAGATCCTCAAGAAGAAGTCCGAAGAAATATGGAAGCTCACCAGAAGAAAGATGAGACATGAAATGAAGCCAAGAGAATGATGAGAGGCTTGAAGTCCATGAAGGGCCTGTTCGGGAACAAGGAGAAGGCGATGAAAGGGATGCTGAGCATTGAAGATTAAAAGGAAATGACCCTGTCTCAAGGCTATGAAAGATGGCAGTGTCGGCATTGGGGCGCAAGAAGAACTATGTACCAGATGATCACTCTGATGGATATGATCCTACGGCTCCTGGATAGATTTCAGAATTCGCTGAGCACTGCAGCGGACCAGCAACTGTACTTTCGGTTTTTGGCGCAGGCTTTTTGGCATGGTCCTTCGTAGATCACTCCCTCCTGGAAGGAGGATTTGAAGGTGCCGGACCTGTTCGTGACTGCCGCCAAGGCCCTTCTCGACCACTTGCAGAAGACAGGGCGCCTGACGGCGGAAGGCCAAACGATGTT